AAGCCCGCAGGTCCAACTACTTGGTCCCTCTGGGTAGCTGGCTGTGACCAAGCAGTGACCACAACCTTGCCCCTTGTCAGCTCTACTATAGACCTGGGAATTCTTATCATTCACATAAACTTATAGGACCATTGTCTGCCAACCCCTATATATTCTTGGATACACTCCCCGTTTCATAGAGATACCTAATCGTTCAACCTGTTCACCCATCTATCCACCCATATACCCATGTTAGCCTTCACTGACAACGCAGGACTGTATGTACAAAAGGGTTGTCTGTACCTCCCATGTACCTCTCTATTTCTTTCTCATCCTCAATGCTGCCATATTGGTCACTAGACCTTCACTTTTCTAGATGACTCACTGTGAATTTCATCCAGGTGGGCATCATCTTTAGTGAGAGTCATATACTCACTGGGTCTCTGAAATCAGTTTAAACAACTGACTTACAAAGGCTCTACCTGTGTTCTTCCTTACATTTTTATTTTTTATTTATTATTTTATGACAGTCAACAGTAGCATAACATTCTTAAAATAACACATCACAGAAAAAGGTAACACACACACAAGTGCTACATAATATTAAGTTCTTTCCGTTAGTTTAGTCAATCTTAAAATCATCAGAGATCTCTCTTGGATCCACTCTGAGAACCCTGTCCCAGTAGTGGCTAATGACTTTCTAAAGAATACCTTCATAATCACATGCCATCATCCATTTGTATAAAACAGCAATGGGGTCCGTTATACTTACATATGTAAGCCAGTGGAGTACACAAAAGAGGTCCAGCTTGCTCTTTAAATAGGGCATTCCTCATCTTACCAAACCATAACACATGTTTCAGAGTTTCTGCCAACAGGCTGAGGGTTGCCCATTTACTTGCAAATTTATTGATTCCATCCAATACATGCACCAAAAAAAAAAAAAAAAAAAACACAACAGAGGGGAACATTTGACAATAGTGAAGCATTGTGTTTGCTTTAGCAACCCTCATCAACTTGCACATACTGAGGTTAACAAAACCCAGACCAGTTTTCTACAAGAAAGTAGATAAAGCAATTGTAAGCAGAACAAACAGAACCAAAATTCTCGTTAAGCTTTGCCTGACAACAAACATTAAACACATTTTCTGGGGAAAGAAAAGACTCAAATGGCAACTCATATTCTTAAAGTGATCATTAAAATTCAGTCAAAAATATAAACCCCAAACTAGTGTCCTGATAGGGGGGATATCCAGGCTTATTTATCAAAAATATTAAGAATTAAATTGAAACTTTGGTTTTTTAGGGTTAAAATAAATTCCTAGCAGGGAATCAATCTTGCAAGGTTTTAATTTACTGCATAAAGAACTCCAAAGGGGCCATTTAATGTTTGGATTGCTCTTAATGGGACTATGCCAAGCAGATAAATACAAGAAAGTGGCAGAACCACAGCTTGTCTGTGTATCAGGCAGAAGTCCCATAAAGGAACTCTGAATTGTAATCTAGTCAGAAACTCATACTGCTGCCACCAGCAGAAACAAACAACCTCTTGAAAGAGACAGAACCAGAATCCTACACTACTGTCACCAGTGAAAGCAAACTACATTTCTAAGAGGTGAGTAAAGAGAGAAAAGTAAAAGAGCAAAGAAAAATTTATTGCTGGAGTTAATCATCTCTCTTGTAATCTCTCTTGAAATTTATAAATCTTCAGGTACAACC